TATAGAATGTGAACCCACTCATATGCTCAAAAAACTTCGTCGAATGGGATTAAGGTCTCGGGAAATTAAATTTTATATATGACTAAACTATAAGGGTCCGTTTAATAAGCAAATGTGGAAATGAATTTCAATTTCATGTTAGTTGGAAAATAAAAATCCACCAAACACATAGAAATTCATTTTCCATGAAATAAAGAAAATACAGCTTAAAGTAGTTGTACCTGGAAACTCGAATTCGATTTCCACGCTGCAATCAAACAGACAAAGTGAAATTCGTTTTCCTCAAATGTGACATTTTTCATAAAATTCCATGCTATCAAACAGACCATAAGAGATCATTTCTATAATGTGTCATCCTCTTCTCTACCATTATACAAATATATAAATATAAAGTAATATTACATATATTTCACTAGAGGTCACCCAGCTTACAAGTTTGTTTCATTTTGATCACTCAACTTCAATTTATTTGATCACCTCACTTGTACTTTTGCTCCAATTTCCCTGTTCTGTATATAACCATTACCAAAACTAATAAAAGTCGCTAACAAAGAAACCAATATAACTTCTGACCCAACTTTTATTTTTGGTAACACATTTTTCTTTAGTGCTAAAATTTACATACAGACATGGAAGTCAAAATCCGTTAAATAGTGTGTAAAAGTACGTATCAAATCAATTGGTTTCGAAAATGATTGACGTTGAAGTGCATGCTGTGGTGGCTATCATGGCGAGAATTAAGCCTCGATGAACACTGATTGCTGCAAAACTTTTGACGTGAGCGTGAATTTCAGTGGTAATAGCAAATATTTAGATGAGGATTTGGAAGGCCGAAAGAATGGATCAACCTTATGACATGAGATTTAATTAAATATTATGTGTCATAACTAAATAAATCTCATAAATATTAATGTGCTACGCTCGCAAATCAGAATTAAATATTAATTTTTTTTAATTTTTTTTATATGGATACTTCGAATAGAGTAACTATGCTTGATACAATTTTAAGTGGACATTGTCTGCAATTTGTTATAATTTTTTTTACTGTTTAAGCACGTTGATTGGTGAATATTAGAGAAACTAGTCAGACATAAGCACACCAAAAAATTGGAATTACTTACGTTCAAAAGGAAGTCAAACAAATAATTAATATTGCATGGGTTGCTCTCACGTAAAACTCTATGTTGACCTCTAAATAGTAAATAATGATCAACAACTCTTACCTAAACTAGAGTTTTTCTTCCATAAATTCACTATTTTACTGCTCAATAGGAAGCAAGAAGAGAAATAACTATTTGGGAGGAAGCTATTCAAATTCAGCTTACTTTTCTTCATCCTAAACATGTCTATTTATAAATTTCTATTCAAACCTTAGGGGTAAATGGGTCTTTTTAGTTTGTGACATATGCCGGCCATTGATCGATTGACTTTTAACTGATTCTGTTATTTGCTCACTTATTAAGTTTTTATTCACCAACCTTATATGGTGAATATACGGTTTTTCCGATGTGAAATCACTTAATGAAAATAGTTTTACCACTTTTTGTTGCAGGTTCTCGCACTTACAAATGCTTGCTTATGCTTCCAAAGGTGTGCATATGGTTTAATTCTTAATATGGTTCGCATAACATGGATCCGAGTTCCTTTTTTATTCTTTTACGAGTTTTTTTTGTTGTTTAACACTATAATTTGTGATTATCCAGGTAAACGTATAATTAATGTGTTATAAATTGGGCTCAATCAACCAAGAAATCCAGGCTCAGAAACAACCAAAATCGACACCACACGTGCAAGACTCGACCCAATACTTTCTTCCACCCAGTTGCCACAAGTTTCACTCTACTATTAACCCACAAAGGATCAAGAATGGTGGATGCAATTAATGACAAAGGAAGGAAGAGGAGAATGAAGCAATGGTTTCACTCAATACTACCAAGAACGGCTACCCTCTTTCTCTCTAACAATTGCAACCCACAAAGACGTTTTTGGGAGGAATGGATTTATATATAAATTGATTAGGTTACAATGCCAAAGAACCAATTGAATGGGCCAACTTAATAACAAGGTAAGTGGGCTAACAATAATCCAAAACCACATACTAATCAAACCACCAATCCATCTCCAACTTGGGTGGGCCTTCCAAAAGTGTCGGTCATATTCGAATAAATTTCCGACAACTGTTTTAAATTATCGTCCGGATTTATTGGGTATAATTTCCATTGTTTAATGAATTGGATCTCAATATTCAAATTGATTATCGAACTATTCTGGTTTGCTTGCTTGGTTAAAATTTTAAGTACTTATTAGCACGGGCTTCAATGAATGCAGTTAAAAAGCAATTAAAAATCGTCAAGGAGAAAGGGTCATTCAACTTTCTGAATCATTAGGGAAGTCATGACCAGCCGAGGCGGATTGTTTGTACAGAAAATGA